TGCGTAACAAAGGTTACCACCTGACACGACTACGAATCAAGAATGGAGACATCGCACGGCGTGAAAGAGACAATATAATGCCCTTGGTCGATATTTATATATCGTACGTCATTTCTTCATGAATTTATCACGAGTGTATTCACTCTTCGTATATCCCACTCACGTTCTGACCGTATCGTTGAAATTTCCTTCTATACCATCCCATCGTAAAATATATCAGTTAAATGGAAAGATCGGACAAAGGGAAAAATTTGATATAAAAAAAAAAAATTCAATTTTCTTTTTTCTTCTTGTAAATTATTTGATTCAAAAATGTTATAAGAGATATTAGCTCTTCCTCCTCCGACACCGGGACAGTATACTCGGCACGTGATCAGGAGAGTCTGAAGGGATCTCGTCTCTTAACGGTCCAATGCCCGGTATTACTATTTGATGAGATAAAAAGCGCCGCGGTGGCCTGGACTCGTGAATTTTTAAAGGAGCCTCGCAGGTACCGTTACGTTCCCGAGTTTCCGAGGTTAGGGGGTGTCGATACCCTGGGGGGGATGCCACAGTAGTCTTCTGCCTTTAATATTTTAGCACGGTAAATTATACCTTTTCCTTGCATACACTGATCTTCCACTTTCTCCATCTCGTCGTCCTTCCTCAGACCTTCCGCCGACGTTGGTAAGAACGTTGATCCGCGTGAATGTTTTTTCTATTTGCTCTCGGAAAGAAAGTATTCCTAAATATGTATGTGCGGGGTGTGCTTCCTTTTATTATTTAAAAAAGCGAAAACAGTTTTTTCCAGACTCACACGCTCTCGCACATTTAAGCGAAAAATGCGCGGGATGCTTTTTTTCGTTGAAGTAAATTGAGAAGATTAAATTAATGATCCACACATAAAATCTCGAAGCGAGTCATTTTTCGAGATAATTACAATCCGTTTGCGTGTCTCCAGTGCTACATTCATAATCAGCGAAATTATCCGTGAAAGCAACAAGCTGAAAAGGCGAAAATCAGCGACGGCGACAAAGACTGAGACGCGGATGTTACGGTCTACCTTCGTTTCAAGGAAACTAATCACCCGCAAGCCGCTTTTGGCGTGCTGGCGGAAATGCATACACTTGCACACAGGAATTTTCACCGCGCACGAGTCGCGACGATGATTAAACCCAGAGCGGTATAAAAAAAAAGAAGGACGAAAATGGGTGGGCGAAGGAGCGAATTCGCGAGCAATGATGACATTTCTCTCGTAGTATCATTACCTTTTAACCATGAATTTAATCAACCCGATCCGAATACTGAAAATCCTCGAGTTATTTAACTGCACACAAAATCAGCGATTCACGAGTCTTTGATGGAAGAAATGTGACATTTCTCCATTGATGTGGATTCAACGTCTGTAAATAAAAATTGAACGCATTTAAATTGGAACGTAAATACGATTCGCGTTCCTGTTTGAAATATTATCTTTTAAGGCTTTGCTTTTTTTCAATTGATTTTTTAATTTTCTACGAGCAACGAAATTTTGACATTCTTGTAATCTTCGATTCAAATAATGAAAAACTGAAAATATGAGAGAAGAGAATGCGTGAAATTTTTAAACTGTTGCGAAAATGAGGAAGGAGAGGGAGGAATCCGCGCGACAACCAGATTCCTGAAGTTTAGAGTAGGACATCGGTGACATGACGGGAGATATTTCTATTTAATAGTCGGCGTATCACGCCGGTAATGGAAGTCGAGGCGTTTGCATGCTGGGAGACACGCTGGTGCTATAAAGTTAATGGCATCGTAGGTAGCGCGATAAAATGATGCATCGCGGTTTGACGATAATATTACTGTCGACAGCTGCACCTATCCGCTCGAACTCGCGGGAGAATATACATATGTTTTTTTCTTCTTCTTTCGAACAATTTCTCGATATTTTTCATTTGATTTAAAATCACTTCGACTTTTAATTGCATTAACTTTTCAAATAATATCTACGGCATTTTATTAACTCGTTTAGATGGAATTATTAGATTTATTTCATTTGACAAATATAGATAAAAATTTAAAAAAGATGAGAATTATTGTATATAAAATCAAAAATTTTACTGTAAGAATTATATTTTGAGTTAAATTAATTACCGATTAATTTAACTCAAAATTTAATCGAAATTCTCGGATAAGATTTAATAGCTCGAATTGTGTTTTATAATTTTATCTCTGCTGACGAACGTTGAGCTAGTGATATCGTCAGTTCTACTTAATTAAAAGCGAACGCGCGTATAAAACCCACGTGCCCGAAATCATAATCCTTTATGGTCTCAGGTTTGCAATTGCGGCGTTACACGTTTGAATGTTGATGTCTTCGTGTATTACGTAGGGAAAACGCGGCGTGTTATATTAGCGGCGCGAATCGTAGAAAAGCTCTCCATCCTTTCGTCTCTTCTCGTCTCTTTCGCGAAGATTCTCCATCCGCCGAGCCTCCTCTTCCGTTACTTTCTCACCGTCTTCGCGCTCCTATCTCCGTTCCGGGTTCATGACCGGATTGTAATGATTAGTATAACGAGAGGAGATCCACGTCGGAGCTTACGGGTAAGCGCGGATACCGGGAATTGCTCCGCTTTTAATTACCGCCAAGCTGCCGGCTATGTATACCGAGCTCTTAATGCACCCGCAGTGCTTAACGAGTAATACATCGTTATCAATACCCGCGCGGACAGAAAGGGCTCGGATCGTTAAACGATTTTAACGGAGGTGGAATCTCGCGCGGAACCAATCGCGAACCTTTTCAGGCGAATAGTCGGCGACAGACGACAAAATAGTTGTCGAATAGAGACCGGTAAGCTCTCTGTATTTCTCGCTAAATTAAGGAGAATAACTCAGGCGCGAGTCAGACTGACTAAGCGAATAGTTCGATTATCGTCGAGAACGATTGTTTCGTATAGCGCACACGCGCTCATCGAAAACTCTCCGCGAGTCGAAGTTACGAATCGCGGTCGCAAGCTCGCTATACTTGCGTACAGTAGACTACGGTGCACTGTTTGTAAATGGATTATGTTTATATAATAGGCCACTCCAAGCTCAAGTTCCAAATATCGTGACCGTATATGCATAGATATATACATATACCGTATGCGCAAATCACTGTATCCTCGTTCGTCGCGTATCCACTTCAATCAGCGTCCCCTGGATTCCCGCCAATGTACATTCTGTCCGACAAATTGCGCGCGGGATGTGACTTTCCGACCTCGACTAGAATCGTATACGACTAGAAACAATATTGTATATTTATCCGCAATGCGGGGAAGTTTAGTGCGTTACCAGTTGGCGCCGGAGTATGCGGAGTTCATTCGCTTTGGAATGTAAATTCACAAACGATGCTGTACGTACGATCGATATACGTTCACTCGATTTCGCTGTATAGCGATCGCGCGAGAAGAGTGTTTCTCGAACGGGAGCTTTGAATCGCACATAGATATAATTCGTTTGTACCGCCGAAACCGCTATGATTTAACGTCCTCTTTTTCGTCCGCTCTCGATATGGCTGGTCCAGAGAAAGAGAGAGAGAGAGAGAGAGAGAGCGCTCGCGCCGCGATTCTTTCGATAATTTATTGGTCGTACATCAACGTCGGAGAGAACGCTGTTTCGGCTCGCCCTTACATTCGGCCCGGGACAATGTCGAAGATCGACGTAGTTTCTGGCGGTGACACTCGCGGGAACGCGTCCGCAGGAGATCGATCGTTAAGTCCGACGCGTTTCGGACGATTGACCGTGCAAACGAATCACTTTCTACGGATCCCGTGGTCGTATTTATCAACGTACACACAAAGTGCACACCGAACGAGGTGGTTAGGTCGGTCAACATGAGTCTAGACGCGTGAGAATCGTTCACGTTTATGAAACTAATTTTATCTAAAGTTATAATAAAAGTTTTGGCTCGTATGAATTCAATAAATTGATAAAAGAAAGGCCAACTAAAACGAGCTACCTTATAATTTAGGATGTCAAACCAAATTGATTATTACGAATAGAAATACATCAAACAAGTGATTGCAACTGTATACGTTTCGACTGTCTTTCTCAATACATTAAATTTTACAATTGATGCATAATACATCAAAAACATTTGAAAACGAAGATTGAAAGATTAAAACATCTATGTCTAAAAGTATATGTCAACTGGCATATTGATCATTAGTCTATGTTGTCTAAAATGTTTTGCAATGTTACAAATATATAATTAATAATTATTAGGACCATGTTCCAAAGAAAGAACAAATTGTCAGTTCAAATTTCTCGTTAGTAAGCGAAAAGTGTAGTAGTCCGATTTCTTTAAAAGTCAATCTTTTAAAATTACTATTGATGTGCTCTGAATGTTTATACTAAAATACCTTTTTCGAATTTCCAAAAGAATAATTATAACAAACTTACATGCGTCGAATTTTCCTTCATATTTATTGTTATATTTAACTTCGTCGCGTTCTTAGTCTTAGTTATGTTGATGTTTAATTTTATCTAAACGTTTCTCTTCAACGCGAAAATATTGCGTTATATTCGTGTATGATCATCATGTCGGTGCGACCATGAAACTACGTTATTTTCACTCTCTCGCGTGAATATTCTTTTCTCCAAAATCCTGAATACTGACCTTATTCGCGTTTTTGTGGCGCTTTTCTGATTGCGTTACGAGTGCCAGCTGCGGCACAACATTCTGAGTTTGCAAAATGTGAAGTATGCACTTATGACGCCTCTCGTATAAGGTCGGGCGTGTCGAGTGGTCTGTCATAAGAAATGGGCACTTGCCAAGCGGCACACTTTCCCTGAAAGACGTATAATTATCGCACGTTGCTCGAGAGAAATGCTTATTCTCTTTTAACGTGAAATATTCGGGACATGGTAAAGTCGCAGAAAATATTAAACATGCATATATGTGTGCGCAATAGCATTCTTGAATTTTTTTACCAATAACCTTGTTGGCAATTGAGTTTATTCGCGCAATTTAATTTCATGTTTTTTTTTCTTTGTTGCAGAGAGATGCCCTGAATCTGGAACCCAGCAACGTGGCAAATTGTGTGTCCAAAGGCAAATCGGAGGTATGTTTTTTTTTTTTTTTTTTTTTTTTTTTTTTATACGGTTTGGTTTCGCACTGCGCGCCGTCTTTGAAGAGAATTTTAATTCCGGTACTAGGGTATGAGAAGGGAAAAAGGGGAAAGAGGGGCAAACTGGCCCGAGCGTGTCACGAAACGAGAAAGAATTGTGATTGCAGAAAAAGACGTCGAACGCGCGTAATGTCGAGGAGAAAAAGAATCGCAACCTTCTGACATTCTGAAATAAAAGGACTAGTTTCTTTGACGGCGTGCAAAGGCGAAACAAAAGACGCGAGCTTGCTCTTTAATAGACATTGCGGTGTCGCGAATCTGAGAGGAGAACGGTATCTCGTTTGTATCTTTAACACGAAAAGGTATTACCGCGACGCTTCGTCTCTCGCACGAATAATCTGCAATGCTGTAATTTCTGAATTAACGTACAGGTATTCCACAAAGAGTTGTATTAAAATCGTCTAATCAGATAGAAGTGCATATTATCGCGGCATAAATATCGCGTAATAAAACGATAGAAAAGTTACGAGCTGTCTCTCTCTCAAATCACCGTAATTCCATTTGCGCTCGTATCTCGCGGTCGAAAATTCGTACTAACCGCGAAACGTTTAATCCCCTCTGCGTGTTCATTTTTATTCGTACTTCGAAATCCCGGCCCGCACGGTGATAAAACGCGGGCACGATCGCGTTCCGCCTCATAGACGCGCGTACGCTTATCACGGCTTCATTCGTATGCATCGTGTACGCGTCGTCGTTGAGGTGTAAGGTCCACGCAAATATTCCCTACGTGACGACAAAGCCAATTCATTTCCCGCCGATTCGCCGCGAAATACGCGCGCGACGTGATCGACCGCGACGGCGGAAACTCGCGGCTTGCTCTTTTCCCGCTTTTCCGAAAAGTCCGAACAGAGAGAGGAGAGAGCAAGCATATTGAACTCTCTCTCCGCGAACTATCTTCTCCGACACGCACGTCGTACCGTCGAATTTAATTTTCTTCTCTCTACCTTTTTCCTCCCCAGCACTTCGACTGCCGGAACCATATAAGAGTGATACAACCGATGGGAGATGGCAATCGGCTTTACATGTGCGGCACGAACGCACACGCGCCCAAGGATTGGGTGATATATGTAAGTTTCCACCTTTTTATTTATCTTTAAAGAATTATTCTATTTTAATTTTTGATCGAATACGTTAAATTGATTAAAATTGTCGAATTATCTATATATTTATTTATTTCATACATGTATGTCACTAAAATTTTCAATTTCAATATACGAAAAATTATTTTTATCTTTCCAATGGCTGGATGTCGAAACAAATATTGCATTGTTTTCTCACAATGTTACTCGATTTTTTGTTATATCTTATGAATTCCGAATGCATACTAAACAAATGCGTTAAATTTGATTTTATAATACGTTTGCGACTGGATTGTGTGACTGGATTGGAAAGGTCCGAAAAAAATACGCACGTATACGTTTAAACATGCGCTGTCATTTGTTTATCGAAAATTGAAAATGTAAAATGATGTTAAATGCATTCCCAACTTCTCTTAAAACGTATTACGAATTCAGCGCGATGTGCGCAACGCGCACGCCGATTTATGCTACTTTACGCTTAATTTAATTAATTAATAACAGAACACGACAAGGCATCTGAAAATAATATCGTTAATTAATTTTCGCGTTACGAATAAATTTCACCGCCACTCACGCATTCCTCTGTAATACGTTCCAATTTAATTCCCGTTGAAATATTTAAAGCCATAATGAATAATGCTATTATTGATAGAAATTTATATGCGCTATGGGCAATAGTAGAAATTCACGCGATATGATTTGCAAAATTGCGTGTATTAGAGCGTGTCAAAGTAATTGGAGTAGATGAATGAATCTTACGTTTAAATACCCGTATAACGACACGAAAAGACACACGCTTCGCCAAACGTTATGAGTCCCGAGTGTATCGTAACATCTCATAATAATAATATCCAGCCACTTACGTAAGCTGTTGCTCCAGATTACGACTACTAAATAAAGTTGGACTATCTCGAAACAATATTCGATATTAAACAAAAGTTGTAAATATAATATAAGATTAAATCTCTGAGATATAAATCTGGCCAGCTAATTGAAACGGTTTGAATTTTTTTCATTGAATATATATAGCGGTTGTTTCGTATGTTTGACATTTTAATTATGTTTGATTAGATTTGTCAACGATATTCTTTAATCGAATTTGTGTAAGCAATGTGCAATTACGATTTTTAGATTGACTATCACTAGTTTTTTTTTTTTTATCTATTTCAATAAAATTTAAATATCTATTTTTCTATATCGTTTTATTAACTGAACGCTCTATCTCTCATATTATATAACTTTATTATTCTTCGATAATTTAGAATGAAAAATTTTTGTACGCTATAATCCACTTCTTTAGTCTTTGTAATGTCTTATTGTTAGTGTTGCAAACTCATCTCGTTCCCCGAATGATCTTTTTCCAGAGCAATCTGACTCACTTACCGCGTCACGAGTTTGTTCCGGGGGTGGGAATGGCGATTGCCAAGTGCCCTTACGATCCTGCGGACAATTCGACGGCGGTTTGGGTCGAGAAGGGCAATCCTGGGGACTTGCCCGCTCTTTACTCGGGCACGAACGCCGAGTTCACCAAAGCCGATACCGTAATCTTCCGCACGGATCTCTACAATCTGACTACCGGTCGCAAGGCGTTCAGCTTCAAAAGAACGCTCAAGTACGATTCCAAGTGGCTCGACAGTAAGTATTCTTTATTAAACAATGCTATTATTAGAAGTAATACTTGAACTTTATAATGGGATATCTACCGATATTCTGTTATATCGAATTATTATAGAAGATATAATAACATTTAACGCGATTTGTTAATATATTATAACATTTTAGGGTTTTTGAAAAATATTCAGTCTCTAGTATCGTTTAAACTCTTCAATTATACATTTTTTAATTCGTCCTCGCCTCGTCGGTATTGATCGCAACTTTCGCTATATTAGAGATACTTAGATCCCCGCGCGTCATTATAAAGGAACCTTTGCTCGAAACTCAATAATTACGACGTGTCGGGGTAACAATGAAATTTCCATTAGGCTTAGAGAGTGTAGCATTAAGCGGGCAAAGGGAGATAGGCGGTTGGATCGGCTAAAAAGCGAAATAGGTTTTCCGCGAAGAAACCGAGCGGGAAGGGTGGGTGCTGTTTGGGAAATAGACGGAGAGTGCTTTGAAGTAGGACCCCGGACATCAGCCGCTTCGGGTCCAAATGGATGCGAATAAACTGCCCCGCCTATTTTCCGAGGGTATCGTTGCCCGTCTCGTCGACGACGCGGAGGACTCGCGCGAAAAGGCGACGGTGGGATGAAGGTACCGAAGTAGAGAAGACTCGAGGGTGCCGGATTCTCTCTTCCTCCCTTTCGCTTCACAAGCGGGGTAATAAAATAACATCCTGGCGCGATCTGCCTCGTCCTAAACGCTGCGCTCTCGACGAAGTACCCTCTTTCTCGTGAAGGGAGAGAAAGCGAGAGCCGACCGAAGAAGTTAAAGTTTTCCCGTCGTTTCGCCGGAAACCCTCTCCTCCCCAGTCCCGTGCGCAGGCCGAGCTTTAATCAGTTTTACCGGCTCCCTGATTCGTCGGCCGAGATTATTGCGATTCTCTCGATTTTTCGTTATCGGAGCGCGAACGTGAGGGACACGGCAGAAGCGGCTTGGCAAGGAAATTGGAAAATGTAGATTAGGACGTGCGTCGAATATAGACATACAATTCGACATGGAATTTAATAGCGTAACTCGCGGGAGGTAGGAGAGAGTAGAGCGCACTGATTTGCGATGATCAAGTGTAAATACAATCCGATTCGTTAGGTTCGTCAGCCGTGACGGGACACGAGCAATACGTCGAAAATTTAGTTACACATCCGTTTTAATATCAAAATTCAGCTCTATTCGGAACCTTCTACTGGCTACGTTTTAAAATGACGGTTGACAAAAAAATTCTGTTTCACGAATAATTTGTGTTTCGCATTGAATATTCTATCCATTCATTAGTTTATCGTACGTATCGAAAAAAAATATTGAAATTTTTCCTCGTATCACAATGTCCCATATATTAATCGTCTCGGCGGAAAATTGTTTTCTTTTTTTTTTTTACCTCTCGACTCGGGGGCGAGAAAAGTAGCTTGCCCGGATGAAAGAGTTAATTTGAACTCCTCTCTTGTCGCACCGCAATCCTTTCCGTGGTGAGCATTCGCGCGCGACACACGGAATAATGGCGCGGGACGGCTGCTTTGTATTTCTCGAGAGGGGCCGCTTCCGCTTTTCCTCACTCCAGCGAAGCGTGCCGCCACTCGAGAGTTCGCTCTTTCAGCCGCCGTCTTCGTCGTCTTCGCCGTCGTCATCGAGTAGAGTAGTAGGGTCGCGGTAGGGCGAACGAATAACTTTGTCCCACTTTGTATCTTTTTCCTCTCTCTCTCTCTCTCTCTCTCTCTCTTCTCTCCGCGGGACGCATGATTAGCCATTTGTTTCGTCGTTTAATTTCGAGTCGTCGGAGCGCAGCCCTTTCGTTACGCATTCTCTGCTCTTCGCCGCCTGCTATTCCTCCGCCTTCGGGGTGGAACCTTCGGTTCAGACCCTACCGAAAGCGAGAGCGTCACCATCAAGGACCATTCTCCGCATCGAGTTTGTCTATTAACAGAGGCGTTGATTAAATGCGAGGCGAGAGTCTCGAAAGAGACGGATGAACTCCGCGCGCGCTTCTCGTAGTCTTCCTGACTCTTCCTCTTTCCTCTTCGCACGCAGTTTCTCTTTCTTGTATCTCTCAGCTCGGCGGCAAAGCGAGCGCAATGAAGACTGATGCGGTTCGTGGCGCGAGAGGTAAGGGAGACGAAGAAAAATAACGAGAAAATAAAAGTAGAACGCAATGGACTTCTTAACAAGCTCTGAATAACTAGCTGACGAACGTCTACTTTCACGGATCTTCCGCGCGTACGAAATGGCACTACGTCATTATCAATATTATCACTCACCCAACTTGCTACATTTAACTGGTCTTTAAAGTCGTTTTTCGAATCTATCGTAACGAAGCGCTCTCTTTTTCTTAAAATTATTATTATGACGAGTATATTTTGAAAGCTCAGATAGCGTCACATGTTACTCTTCATCAATGTCGAGATGCAAAATCGAAACTTATCACATTTTCTAGACGGTTCCGCGTTTCCTTGTTCCTCCGCTTCACACTGCCGATCTCTTGGCCTTGTCTCTCGACACATACCGTCTATACCGATATATCAAACTTCCGCTGTCGAAAGCGTCAGACAATCGATTTAATCGCTGAACCGTGAGAGAGATTGCGGCGGCCTCCAGTCGAACGCCGCCGCATAATGTAAAATTGACAAGAGAGCCCCACCGGCGGCAACGCGATTCGAACGCGGAAAAATTCGATTTCCTTCGCCATTTTCTCGCGTCACCGAGCTCTCCGACTTCGCGAGATAAACCAGTTTCCTCGGCACAACAAGCAATTACGCCAAGATTAAAGGACGGTTTACCGCAAGCTCGCACGAGGTAGATTGTATTTCGCCGTATCGGGCTGCATTTTTGTTGCGAATAAAAACGCGCATAATCGCCCGATTTAGCACGTCATTAACCAGAATTCGCTCATCGAAAATCGGCAAGACAATAAGTCGAGTTAATCCGTGATAAATTATTTCTAACGAACTCTCGAGCGAGATAAACCGCGTGATATTTCCCGAGTCGCTGGAGACTCTCGCCGTCTGTTGGCGAAGAAGAACTCGCACAAGTCGTTGCAAAGTTATTTCGGACTCTTTCTCGCGCAACTTATCTCATTTGAAGATGATACCGACGAACTTATAACTCGACTACGCGAGGCGCAATGATAAAGCCGATTCGACGATGTTTTACTCACTCTTTCTTCTCTCTCGCCGCAGTTTTTTTTTTTTTTTTCAATCTCAGTTCTCGACATCGGTAAAGTGCGATTTAATTTTTTACTTTATTTTCCATGCGTTTGAAACGAAACGAGAATTTTGAGACTCATTATAAGATAATTTTGCGTTGCAAAATTATTCTTTCATCAAGTCCAGCTCCGCTTTAAATCGTCTTTATCAAGGAACGCAATTAAAGCGCATTGTTTCCAATCTAGTTCCGCTACGTGTTCCGTTTTTGCGCTTCCATTTGCTCCTAAAGCGGTTGCAAAATAATGTCGTTGCGCTACGAAATGCCTGCGGTTAAACGGAATTCGGGGAGATTGTTGTCCGCGCGCGTCTAGAGCGGAGTTTAAACACAGTTCTCCGGCGATGAAAGTTTTTATGCATATAGAACGAGCAAAGAGGATACCGTCTCGTCCGCAGCGAAATACTCGATTCGCGATTATTATTGCGCGCGATTATTGCGGAGTAGGTATCTACTCGCGGCAACTATCTGCTTTAGATGCAGTCATTTCGACGCGGATGAGAGAACGAGGTAAATGCTAACGGCTAGATTATACACGGATATATAAGCTCGCCGAAATATTCCATTGAACATTTCGCGATACGGAATATCGTCGTTCAGCGAAAAAAAATTCTATGTCGAGGAAACGCGAATAGAAATAAATTACATTTAAAAAGTAAATTAAAAACGATAGCATTAATGGGTGTCCCGTCTATCTTTTCAGAGCCCAATTTCGTAGGCTCGTACGACATTGGCAGTCACGTATTTTTCTTTTTCCGCGAGACCGCGGTCGAATACATAAATTGCGGCAAAAGTGTGTACTCCCGCGTGGCGAGAGTCTGCAAGAGGGACACTGGCGGTAAAAATATACTCGCGCAAAATTGGGCGACGTATCTCAAGGCCAGGTTGAACTGCTCGATACCCGGCGAGTTCCCGTTTTATTTCAACGAGATACGTGAGTATCAGGCGTATTGTGTGTGAAACATATTTTCGCACAGCTGTGTGTGTGTGTGTATATTATTTTACATTATAGCATAATTTACATTTACTTCTGCGTTGCCATGTTCAGAATTTAATTTTGCTTTTAGAGATGATACGATATTTTTATTATTATTATAAATATATTAATATGGAGTTATATAAATTTTTAAATTAATTTAATGTTCTCACACACACACACACACAGCTTGTGGCTGTTATAATGTCTATATAATTTACGTTGCTGCATTTTCGCCATTCAGAGAGCATTTACAAGGTGCCGGGTGATGACACGCATTTCTACGGCACCTTCACCACATCGACGAACGGATTAATGGGCTCCGCGATATGTTCCTTTCACATTGACGCCATTCAGGAGGCTTTCCGCGGAAAGTTCAAGGAACAGGCAACCAGTAGCAGCGCGTGGCTACCGGTTCTGTCCAACAAAGTTCCGGAACCTCGTCCGGGCCAATGCGTCAACGACACGGAAACGTTGCCGGACACAGTTTTGAATTTCATAAGGTCCCATCCTCTAATGGATTCGGCGATCTCGCACGAGAACGAGAAGCCGGTCTTTTACAAGCGGGATGTCATGCTCACGCGACTGGTTGTTGATAAGCTGCGCATTGACTTCGTGGGCATCGACCTGGATTATACCGTCTATTACGCTGGCTCCAGTAAGCAATCGTCTTGTTATATCTATATCTTGTTATCTGCGCTATAAACACGCAGATCGCGATTTGTATTTTCCTCCGATACGAAAATGCGATAAAAAAGCGAACGTGTTCTTCGTTGCATTTTGCAGGCGACGGTCGTGTTCACAAGGTTGTGCAGTGGCTCGATGCGAACGGCGAATCCCAGTCGATCTTGCTGGACGTTTTCGATGTCACGCCGGGCGAACCGATACAGGCGATGGAGATCTCGAAGGAGCATAAGGCTCTTTACGTAGCGTCGGATCATCGGATAAAGCAAATTGATCTGGTAATGTGCACCCGACGATACGACAATTGCCTGCGATGCGTTCACGATCCGTACTGCGGATGGGATAAGGATACAAATACGTGCAAACCCTACGAACCTGGGTGAGTATTTTGTCTCTTCGTAAGCGTGACTTGATTTGAAAATCATAAATACACAGAGCTGATTCGTCTTATAATATTTGTTATAATGATTTTACGCATTTTTGCATATATGAAAATATTACGAAAATATAAAGAATTGAGCATAATATCAATTTCCATCATAATTTAATTGCTCAATTATAAATTATGACATACACGTGTTTCGAAACAGAAATATTCGCACCGATTTTATACGCATCGTGTATTTCGGTTACCGCAGATTCATTTTCCTCGGTGAAACGAAATACTTTTACGAAAAAAATTAAAAAAAAAAAGAATTTGTGCGGCTGGACGAATTAAAAATTCAATTTCACGGAATATTTCGAAATAAAATTATAGGAAAACCGTATAAATAAATATTCGAGATTACATATTTACGAAAAAAAAATTGCCGCGCGTGACGTGACTTTTGACTTTTCCGCGTAGGCTTCTTCAGGATGTATCGAACAGCACAGCCGACGTTTGCGACAGCAGCGTCGGCAAACGGAAGTTGGTTGTCACGTGGGGCCAGTCGGTGCATCTGGGTTGTTTCGTAAAAATGCCGGAAGTGCTGGCGAATCAAGAAGTACGGTGGTACCATTATAGCAAAGAAAAGGGCAGGTATCAGATCGCGTACAAGTACGGCGCCGGCGGCGACAAGTTCATCGAGACCTCGGAGAAGGGTCTGGTGATTGTCGGCGTGAACGAGCAGGACGCCGGCAGGTACGACTGCTGGCTCGGCGGTGCCCTCCTGTGCTCGTACAACATCACCGTGGACGCGCACAGATGTTCCGCCCCCGCCAAGTCCAACGACTATCAGAAGATCTATTCGGACTGGTGTCACGAATTTGAAAAGTACAAGTCGGCGATGAAGAGCTGGGAGAGAAAGCAGGCGGTAAGTCGATTTTACATGTCACATTTTTTCTTCCTTCCCTTGGACAGTTTATAGCCAATATATTTCTTCGGACACACACACACACACACACACACACACACACACACACACACACACACACACACACACACACGGGAGTATTTTTAACTGCGAGCGAAATTACGTTGCTGTATCTCAGATTTATTATCATCACCGTCCGTCATATATAGAATCATCATAAATCGTTAAACCATTCAAAATTTGCATTGCAAAGTGACATATAATTCAGAGAATTCTCTCTCTCTCTTTCTCTCTTTCTATATATGTATATATATATATATATATAAAATATATTTAGTTATCTTTATATGCATCGGTATCTCGGAGAGCGGAAATTAAATATTTATCATCAAAATTGCGCGATGCGAGGTAGAGAGAGTTTATTGTGGGAAAATACCCCTACGGGCGTATATCCATAAATCGATAATATATATCGATAAATTTAATTGCACGGTTGATAGGGACAAATGAGAATTATTCTGTGATCATTTAAAATCGTTTGTACCGTTTTACGCATTATGCAATGACAACTCTTACGTGTTATCGAAATCAATTTAATTTACACGACAAAATTATTAATATATATCTAACTCGGTTTACATCCGTTCATTTCATATCAAGATGATCATTATCACTTGGTCCAACATCATAATAATTAATACCTTTGTACTTGAAAATATATTATAATCACTCATTATAATAATCGTCTTACGATCAGCTGATTAGTGACAGCAAATTGACACATAGTTTTGAACACGTGACACGATACTTTCGGTATCGGACGCGCCAAAGATTGGAATCGCATCTTTTTTCATAGCATCGTTCGCACTTTTTGTTACAGCAATGCGCTTCGAGACAAAACGACAGCAATCAGAATCTACATACGAACGAGGTGTACGGCACGCCCCTCGTCTGATGGAGCCGATCGTTGGGTCCCTCGTCGAGCCGAGATCACGATGACGCCATGATACGCATAAGCGTCCCGCCGAGAAATCGCGGCTGGACCACGACCGGCTGGACGAGTCTGATCTTCCTGCTGGCCGGTCACGTCACCGCGCTCGGCCCGCTGGTCACCCGGGGTCTCTCAAGCGTCTGAGACCGTTCCGCGGCTTCGTGAACTGTGTGAGAGAGGTGAGAGGACTGAAATCTGGTGAGTGCGAAATAATAATAAAAAAAAAAGAACGTACGCGCGATCGATCCGTCGTGCATATTGATACTATTACGTGCCACTGTGCCCGAGATTGCGTCTCGTCGCGCTGCCGATCGCGAGTGATCGTCGACGACACTTCATTGGGCGGTCGGAATATCAGAGATACTCCAGTTTCGTTCTGGTCGCGCATCCCGCTTTCCATTTACGTATGTTTTGTACTCACTTCACGCTGTAAATAGACGTGTCGCGCGAAAGAGACCGGACGCTGACGCAGCGAGTGTGTTCTCGGCGAGGACGACGGATATAATGATGCTCGCGAAATGTCGTCAAATAGTGAAACGATTCTTGGCTCGTAAATTCCAATAGGGATGGTGTATATTCGCGGATAAAATCCAGGTTCTCGAAGGCTGGAGACTCAGTGCGGAAACTGTACGGAGAAACGCTTGCTTTCATTTCCCCAGATTTTTAATTAATTTGCGAGACGGCGATGAATTATGTGTACATACGATATCGGAGTCTCGAAAGACGTCATGTTGATCGCGATATCACCGTAATGAGATATTGATTATCAATAGAACCGTCGAGATTGAGCGGTGCGTCGAAGAATAGAAGAAACGTGTTCTCCTGCAGTTTTTCGCATCTGTAATAAAAAATGGCAGAAATGAGAGACGGCGGAAGGTATAGTTGTTTGTTCTCTTGACGACGAGAGAGCATCGATAGGACAACATCGGCCGTTTCAGCCTGAGAAAAGGTGGAAACATCGCGTCAAGAGAAAGAGAAAAAAAATGAAAAACATGACCAACGGCGCGTTTACGACGTCACGCAGGTTACATATGAGATTATTATCGACTTTAGAGACCTTCGTGCGAGTTGAGCTGTACTCGCGCGACGCTGGTTAGCTTTCCATATCACGTTCGCCACTTTTGCGGCGCGCACACGCCTATTTTCTACTCTTGCACACCCTCCCTTCGCATACTCTTCCTTTCTTTCGCCCTTTCTCTTTTCGTATATCGCATCTCGACAATCGCGCGAACCTCTATACCGCCTTAGTTATCTTTTGTTTGCCGGAACTTTCGTGCGCCGTTCCAATCATCATCATTATTCTTCGCGTACCCACCTGAGAGACACATGGTGAAACGACCGCGCGATGACACCGCGTTTTTACGCCCGCGCGCGCGTATATTGTGTCGACGAAGGCGCACAACACGTGTTGGTGTCGTGCGGAAACGTCAAAAAATCGTTGCGCTCCAGTTCGCGAGGAACCGCCTCGAGTATCTCTCGTCGTCATCGTCGAGAATATCCCTCCTTCAACCAAGGTGCTACGCGGATATATTTTTCGTTTCCGCAGAGAAAATCGGTAAGACCTACGTGGTCTCGGACTCGCATACCTACATACATTTTCCGTCTCATTTTCATCCCATTACACTTATTCCCCGATCGACACGCGTACGAAAAGAAAAAACCGCGTCACGCATCCAACGATTGCGCGTTATGCACTGTACATAATATATCGGATTCCAAAAGTCACGTGTACACACTTTCCTTAGGTAAGTCTAATATTAGCGTAGAATATACATGTTTGCTTATTAGTTTTCGATGAAACACACGGCCACGGATCTCTCGTTGCATCCTGCAACGATATCGGTGGCACAAACAATCGCCACCAGAAGTAAACGCGGTGCTGGGGCACACATCGAGAGCGAGCGATCGTTTCGACGCGACTTCCGGACTCAACGCTGCGAGTCGTCGAACTGTCGGGTCGCCCGTGCGTTTCTAACGTGTTCTTTTTACACTACGCAGGAATAGATTGCGACAGAATCGAGTTCGCGACGTGGAGTCCATGAAATTTGCTTCCCGAAATCAATCTGGAGTTTTAAATTGTTAAATTTGATTCGCGTCTTGGGATGTTAATACGATTATATTATTCGATTTTCCTTGCTTTTATCGCGTCGTCGCTGATTTTCGGTACGCTCTTATTTTCAACGCCCGGAAACTCTCTCTTCGAATTATGGATTACGGATAACGGGAGTGTGTTTTTGACTTTGTAATTCTCCTGTATATAGATATAATAACGTTATATTTTTATAAAAAAAAAAAAGAAAAAGAAAACGATCTTGCCGAGAAAGACTCATTGCGAAAAGTAACGACACGTTTTTCATTAGTATTCGTACACTCAATCAAGTGGACTGATCATAAAAATAAAATTAAAAAAAATAACAAAACAAACCGTTTCAGGATAAACGAATATTTTTCGAATCTCGATACACAGACACATACACGCGCGAAAACCGACGGGGAATTCAATTTTGTCGCGTTCCATCGCTAATTTCAATGCCGCATATATGCATACGTCCTCGTTTAGTAATCGTCCATGAAAATATGACGCAGGCTCACATTCACTAGTAGTGAAATTAGCGTTCGTGTTAGCGTCCGTCCGAACTTTTCCTCGGAGATCAACACATATACATTTTGTAATCAATATGCGACAACAAAAGCGTCTATCGGTGCTCATTTGGCGCGGTTTGTCGAACGATCGACGTATCGAGAGAGAGCACCCAGCCAGCCATAATCACCATTTATACATACACACGTATAGGCTATTATAAAGAATTGTAGGAGAGGTCATGACGCCTCTCTCTGTACACACATACACATATACACAGATTTTCGGTTCTCTGAAAAGCCATCGGTGATAGTTTCGCTCTTATTCTTAAGTTTGTACATAGACATTTTTTATTATCGTAATAATTCACGCAGCATCTTCGATATAAGGAGATGCTCGATCGAGCCTGGATGCGCGCGCGACTGTTATTAAACTTCTGTACAGAAATTGTCGCAGTCGACGATTTACATATACTTTTTGTACCTATAAGGCTCAACCTATACGCGAGAATACGCGGCGAGGGACTCCGATTTTGAAGGAAATATAAATCCTCGTAGAGGAAAATGTTAGAGATTGTGAGACTAATCGGGAGTTATACACACCTAAACGAGAGACCTTGACGAGAGTCGTAAGAGTAACACAATAATCGGTAATCTAATCCTCGAGTATGTACTTATTATGAGCTTCAACAAGTATTGAATAGTATTACGATATAAGAGTTAAGGCTATACGCACGTTAAGGGTAAAATCGAGAGAGATGTCGCGCGCGGATCGACGAGGGTTCATTTTTCGGGAAAAATTCCCCGAAAACGCAATCTTCGTCGATCCGCTCGGTCCTATACTCGTACCTACAAATCATCCTCAAATTTCTCCAGTCATCAATCGACGTCCCGGACCGTACCGGATAAGACGCGCCTGGATATAGAGAGCGAAAGAGAGAAAAAAGGAGCGATAGAAAGAGTGCTAGGATATACGTGCGTGCGCGAATGCGTGTGTGAGTGTAAATCGCGTGATGTGTCACGGATTGATACGTAAAGAATAGTAACTTACCTATCGTGTATCTAAAGAAAGTTATAAAAAGAGTAAAAGCAAACTTAATATTACGATAGAATAGTAAAGTACACGAACTTTGGCTAAGAGCGTCCTCGTGCAGTCCTTACTGGCCACGTCATGTCAGCCGCGTGTTTATAGTAACGCAAGGAGAAATCGTATCGACCCTAGAATATGGTGTACTCTCTCTCCTCTCCGTCTTGCGAGAGAGCCGACAAGGTGTTCGTCTGCGAGTGCACGAGGACGCGCTTCGGGTTGGAGTAGGCGTGATCACGGAAAGCAATCTAAGTTGAATCTAAAGTTGTTAGATATATTATTTGTAAGAATTACTGTATGTTGCGCGTGGAGATGCGATTGATGCGGCGGGATATCGCGAGCGGAAATCATCGATTCTGGCGAGTAATCAAGCCCGTCCGGCGGTCATCGGAGCAAATTTTGTCGCTTCTTTGCGGAGACACGCGCGAGCTCGAAACGTACTTCAACGACAAAAAAAAAAGAAAAAAAGAAAAGAATACACATCGCGTCTGCGAAATCCCAGTCGATTATCCCGCAACGTCGACCGCGAAGGCGAGATAGATTATAGCTCGGTTTAATGTATGCGATGCGAGACGATTTTGGGTAACGCAAGATGATAGTTACTCGAGTAAGGGGACGAAAAGGGGGGTGGGGCGGGGGAGGAAGAGACGCCCTAACTGAATAATTAGTTACGACGACATACTACTACGATACAGAGAATTGGAAGTGGAGGATAGCCGATAACGATTTATTAAGATATATCACTAGGACTAGCCGACGACTGTTAGGTTTCGCGAGTGGTTTCGGAAGCGTAGACTTATTTCTCGGGAGGGGGTGAGGTATATATATATGTGTATATATATATATATATATAGGTATATACATATATATGGACCGGGGAAAGGATTCGCCGTGTACTTTTTACCTTTTTTTTACCGCGAAGATTACGAAAGAGCGGGAAAATGTGATCCGTTTGACCGATTTCCTTTCAATTTCCCCGCCTTTTTTTTTCCGCTCTCGTGTCATCTCGGCGCCGTTTTTCTCCCGCGACTATTCTTTTTTTTTCCTTTTTAATTCACTCCCCTCCCCCCTTTTTTTACAATATATCTTGCCTTAAAGCAGAAAATTGGAGCAAACTCGCGTTCGCGCGAGATTAATAGTCCATTCGTATCGTGGAAAACTCATCCTTCATCATCGCCATATTTTTCTCCGTCTTTTCGGTTTCGCTTCTTTTTTGCATTCTGCTCGTTCCTGTCGACAGCAGAGCGATCAAGGGTGGAAATTAGGGACGGGCGGTAGCGCGCCGTGAGTCGTTTTCAAGCTCGTAGAAGCCGATATGCCGCTTACGGGAATTCAATTTAGTACCGTACGGAATAAGGGACGTGGGATCCTCTGCATCGCTCGAGGTACATAACGCCGCCGTAGGGGCGTGCATCGGCAGTTTTGTTTATGGAACGTACTCGTGAATATCGATCTTCCTCGAAGCGCCCCGCCAAACCGTTGTGTTTGTTCGCGCCAGGCGATATGTTTATCGATTAAATTAATTCGGCCACACATATGTATATGCCGCGCACCTTGCGCCTGTGTCGAACAAAAATACAGTTCTCTCTGTGCTCTATGATTTTTCGAAAAACTGCGAATCATGCATAAGAAATCACAGCCTCATCTTTATGTAACAGAAATTAATTTTTATGTAAAAAAAAATCATTTTTTTTTATTGTGTTTACAAGAAAGTGTTTCACAAATATTTGTAATAATTGGACCTCATAATGAATACGAAATGTGCGTTGAATATGTTGACTAAATGCGTTTAATCTGTACTGCATACAGATATATTTGGCGATTATACGATCGATCGATTCACGGTACGCACCGCCTAAAAAAATTCAGACTTATTGACACGTACGTGCGATTATCATCGTTAATAAACACGACCGTAGATAATTTTTAGTTCAAAGAATTTCGTACGATAAGAGACCCTTTTAGATATTCACCTATTACCTAAACATCCAATCGCTATTTTTATCAAAAAAAACATGTTAAAAATCTTTAATAGTTATCCATTGTTCACTATTGCTATAATAAAGTTTTGCTTTAATAAATGATTGATTCGTATGCTATTCATTTTATTCCACATCCTCCAAATCCTCCCACAAATAGAACCAAGTACAAAAAAAAGAAGCCACTAATGAGCTTGTTCAGCCTAGTCTTCGAGGATCGCGTTTGACAGAAGAAGAAAGAAAAGGATTCCAGAAGTCAAGGTAAGTCTAACAAAAATGTCTAGCAACGATGTCACTCGCAAACAACAACTGATTTCGAATATACTTTCGGAGAAAGACGCGAAATTCGCGACTCGTGACTCACTTAATTAGCATGCAGCGAAAAAAAAAGACGTTCAGAGTTACCGCGAACCATATTCGAGCTTTCGCGCGATCGATAGAGCAATCTTAATGCCGGTGTATCCACCGTTTGAATAATTACGCGCGATTACGGATTCCTCTATGGTTCATGTGTAGCTAGCGGCTATAGACCCCTGGACTGACAGACGTCATAGGTATTTGACTCGCTAGGAGGGATTAAACATTTGCGTCATAATAAGTTGTCTCGCTCGCGAGGGGTTTCTTCGATTTATCATGACGTCATTGCAACGCGATGCTATTACTTTCTCTCTTTCTCCTTCCGCCTCGGATGAACGCTTCTTCGGAACTCCGTGACGCGGGTAGCTCGACTTCAAAGGTGTGCTTTGCAATGTTACCGCACTTTACGCGGTCGGCCGCCCGTTAGAAAGGTCGTGGGAAAGTGCATACGATATTCTTTCACACACAGGGTTGGATGTAAAGCCGCTCTGAAATCGGCACGCCTCATCGGTGTGCGGTGTCCGTAATATTTAAAGAACGTTTATAGTCCCGATGATGGTAGTTTTGTCGTCATAGGTTCGCGCAACCTATCGGCCGCGCATTAAGATGCATGCGATAGCTATACTTTTCGCAGTCGAGTTTAGATTCAACGGTGGAGCGTGCGAAGAAGTTTATTTTCCTTACAAAAGGGAAGAGTAGTATACGCTTGGGGGGAGGTTACACGCGTGATGGAAAAATCGATTCGACTTACTTAGATTCGTATCCTAGATTCAGTCGAGATTCCTACACTCACGCGAAATTCAATTTAAAAATTTAATCCCGATAAGACGCGATATATCGGTACGTTGCACCTCCGGGTGAAATTTGTGCTCTCCCGTAAGATCGTATTAAATCGACGCGAGTCCATTGATCTTAACTTCGCTGGCCACGTCAAGCGTCAATAAAAGATAATATCGCGCCGGCTCGGAGATTGAGAGAGAGAGAGTTCGATCTATCGCCTGATGGTCTGTCCATGTTCCATAAGTGGTTACAATCAACGGCGCTTTGCCGTCGCTATTGTGAATAAACGCATTTGAAGGGGGATGAACGGGGTTGGAGAGCAGAGGACACTGGCGGGATGCCAGTATCGATGATGATTTGAACGCGAGAGTAAATGCGAGGATAAATAAGAACGACGCGTTTACTGTCACCTTTATCGTTCTGCTTTTGCGCGTCGATATATTTATTCGCGATCGAAACTATTCGAATTTTCATGGAATCGCTTGATGCGCTTTAATTAATTATTATGAACTGTTTGTGCGTCGCGGATTTTATTGGACGGCGCTAGTATAGTTTATTCTTTTGTGCGCATCGCGCGAATATCCGCACGTATGTATATCTACGGGATATTTGTTAGTTTATATTTGTTTCATATTTGTGCCACGGATACACGCGGGAGCACCGTATTTATTCGCAAAGCTACGCATCGTTTGATTCACTTTACTCTTTCTGGGGCGTATATATACATATATGTAAATGTAAAACTCGATATTGTTTTGTTGGAAATATTATAGAGCGTGATTTATTTTTAATTAATCAAACATATTTGCAAATACATAGGTTAAAGTATTTCAACACAATGTGATGCTATATTAATTTATTAATTTCTATGTAGATTTAAAATTGATATGTGTGTCTGTAATAATATACCTACTGCATAAATCGTAAAACGTATTAATTATTTCAAGGAATATATATCTCTTTATGCTTTTATTAATATAATATTACATCTAACAAGGTAAATGTATTATTAAAGAACATAAAATTTTTTATCATTTCGTGTTATCATATCATTTAAAAAAACTGACCTATATTATAGGAAAAGATATTCTTGCTCTCGCTATTCCCGTTAAAGCAGATTAAGATAAGATCAAGTCGAGTTCTGAAACGAAATATCGCATATCTGATGCTTCATCGAGGTAAATTACCTTTAAAGATGCATATTGAAATAGCAAAAGCCGATCATCCAATTCGCGATCAATTAATCCGCGCCGCTTTTCCTGTCTCATTCTCGATATCTAGCGACATATTCCATTCATGATTAATGCATCATTGACACTACCCGGCACTTTTGTTCTCCTCCCTCGTTGCGCGTTTCTATCATGCGCAATGTTTCATGCCGTTCTCTATCGACAGGCGAAGTAACTAACGGAAATCGGTTAGTCCTGCTGCATGCATTATCGAGATATCGACTCGCCCCGATTCGTATTTCCAGCGCGTATCACGGACATAACATTAAAAATCACTAAAATTCGAAACCTCTCATCGATTTTACTTCCACGATAATCCACGGTAATTTCCATCATTTGTCTGGTATTCGGAGCAATCGAGTTCGTGTTAACATTTTTCGCGAACTCGCCTTCTCGATTCTTACGACTTGTTTTTGGCTTGACATCCAACACCGTCAACTGCTTGTTTAAATTTACATGTACCATTTTGTTTGTTTGACGACGAAATTCCACGAGTGTGGAAAAATATGGAAAATAACAAGATAATAAAGATAGAAGATATAATAACAAATATTTGTCAAATGTAATTTAATTTTAATTCTTCCTATATCGCCACTTAATGCGCATCGTATGGAAAATATAAATTGTATAAATAAGCTTTTTATATTAATTATATATAAATGGATTGAATATATTATGTTTTACTATTACAATTTTAATTCTCTACTTAGATTATTCTTTCCTCTCAAGACTAGCCATTTCTTTCGCTATTCTCGTCGAATTTTTCTACATCAGCCATACTTTTTCCGCATACACTTTTCGGGGTTTTTAGTCTTCCTTTTCTTTTTATTACGTCAGATAGGAAAGCGGAATTTATAAAGCCGCCCTCGAGATACAAGGATCTCTGAGCGTTAAGGTTAACAGCTTCCACTATCCGACGGTATACGACTATACTACACACTCTACGGCCTGATAATGCTTTACTTGCATTATGGAAAACAGTTCGTTAAAACCGTATTATCCGCTCCGCCGAGTGGCGGTGCCGGCCAGAGGCTCAGCTGCGTGCTGCTGGGAGCTGCTATGTCACGATATATCGCTTTTCGATGGTCTTCGCTGCAGTAAGTACTTCGAGAATTCATGAGGAAACTTGGAGGGCTCAAAGGGAGACCTTGGCGCCGTCAAGGGTTGCAATAGCGAGTGATATAGTTATCAAGAGCCTGGACTGTGACCTACTGCGCACAATACCTCCTTAGTATCCTTCGCCGACCCCTTTGATCTGAGGTAGGTGAGCAAGGAGATATGTTCAATATCAATTAATATAATAATTTAGTAGCCGGTTATACACACGAGTCGAATAATCCTCTCGCAAAGTTATATAATTCGAAGCCAAATTAATATCTTCTCTCGTTAAAAATATTTAGAGAAGCAGAAATTAAAGGGAAACTCAATTTTCAATATTTATATAATATCGCGTCTTTTAATTACTCGATAATTATCTCTCAATAAAAAAGATACCATTTAGGGTCTTTGTAAATAGCTAAAGTTGATGCTGCTAAAGCGCGATGTATCGTATAAAATTGATACGGCAATATAATTATAACACAATTTCTAGCAGCGATTAAGTTTCTTTGCGGCTCTTTGGGATCGGATTTTCGATTTGAGGCTGCATTGTCTCCGACTTCCGTCGTTATCGCTGCTCTCCGGTAGCTTCTAAGACTTCAACGCGCGACGAAAGGAATCTTCCAGTTCTTAAGATCGAAGCCAACTCGATCTTCGAACCGTGTCGTGTTTCCACGCCCACTGACTGCGCCGCATCTATGGTCTCATTGTGCTTTAAACAAAGCGACCGCCGGTGAATTGTCCGGGATTTAATGAAAGAAGAATACTCGCGCAGTCACCACCGAGACCCCGGTTTCTCTGTTTGCAAGGGGGGTCTGGCATCAAATCCTCCAACTGATTCCTGAATTTATCGAGAGCCGCGAAATAGGCGTGGAATCTGTTAAACGAACTGTGAACCGACACCCGAGAATTTTTCACCGAACAGAGGAAAATCGCTTCGGAGCGCTCATCGCGAATTCCGTTTGAGAGCCGAGTTACCGGGTGAAATTGCTTCATTTTTGGACTGTCTCTTAATTAACGAAGGCACGAGGGTATTGCGATGAGAGATTTCGGTGTCGGGTAGAGAGGCGAATGATTAATCCCGCTACTATATTTTCGCATTAGGCAGTGCAAAAACTGTCAGGAACACATTACGGCTTTGAATATATTTAAATTTTAAACCGACGCCGCGGCAGTGTGATCGCACAAGTATACACTACAAACGTAACCCCTCGTTGTGTATCTCGGACTCGTTACCGCTATTTAATCCTGTCGTCAACAGGCATGTTTCGATACTCTACAAAGCGATGACACGTCCGTTGCAGAAAAACGTCGGACAGATGATTTGTGGAAATCAGGCTTTTCGGCAATGCTTCAAATTTTTCGGTTAAATGCGGGATATCATGTAATACACAGCGTCAAACAACTGTGATTTTAGACTAGATTCGAATAAAGATTTTTAATTGCATTATGGTTATATTGATAAAATTGTTTACTCAACGCATAAGTAAGTATTTGTCTTCAAGTTAGTCGATAAAACTTTAAGAGACAAAAATAAGTAAAGAGGAACAATGTTTCTGTGAAAAATTTACATAAAATATTAATAAGCTGTTTAATAAGGAAAACTTATGGGCGAATCTTAAACCAGTACCTATATTTCCTCTAACTTTAA